TACATATAAAATTAAGAGTAAATAGATTACCTATAAATAATATACATGTAAGCTATGTATCTTTTTCTTGATTACCTAGAGACACTTTATTTACATCTCATTTTTCACGCCACTGGTTTTCTTCCATTTCTGTAGTCAATGTCAAATAAGAAAAGGCTCCCTGCTGTTGGCTTACAATTTACCTTGATCGGAGTCAGAGAGCACCAAGTCCTTTTATGACAACAGCTGACTAATCAAGGGAGTATATACCGTATAGATATGGTCACACCCAAAGGCTATAATTTTTGGTCTTATGCTTGTTTTTCTGCATCGAGGGTGTGACATAGTACCAAAAAAAGTCACCGAGCAAAAAATTCAAGATTTTAGCCATAATAATCTCGAGCCATCAAAAATAAAGGATTGATTCAGCATTTTAAAAACCAATTTTATCTTATGTCAGTTATCAACACTCATCAAGATAGAAGCCAAATATTTGGCATGGTGATTACTGTTGGTAGGTAGAATGACCTCACAGAGCCAAATTTGAATTTTCTGTACTAACTTTTGAGCTTTATAGTCCTTCTTATGCACTAAATTCAGGTCTCCAATATTTTAAGATTTTGTAAAAGAAAAAAGGCCTCAAACTCCAAATGTGTATCATAAACAGAAAAAATGCTTAAGTAAGGTCATAGATATATTATGTGTATAAAAGATTGTGTGCAAATTTGAATAAAGTCTGACAGTAACTTTCTGAGAGCTACTCAAAATATTGTTGCAACCTGGTCAGATAAACAATTCTGAGAAAACTGCAAAGAGAGATAATTTTAATGAATATTTTTAAAAGTTTCATAAAGAAATTAGGCTTCTAAAGGTGGATTCTTGATATAGATATTATATCTATATACATGTACTCCAAAATCCGAAAAATTATATTCTTTTTCAATATTTTTAATTTTACTGATCTGAGCGGCAGAGATCCCCTAAAAGAGTACACGAGAAAATGGCATTAGACACAATTATTAATGAATCTGCTTTTTCCCTTCGTTTTGATGTAATGTTTGGCTTGTTCTCATTTCTCTATCAACACCGTTTTCATCAACAACAGTTACAGTCACGTACATGTGACATTTCAATCAGACTAGGACAGAACGGCGACCCCCAGGGGTAGTGCTACAGACTGAAGTGTCTTTAGGCCATTCCCAAAGGGGGGACATTTCTCGTCCATGCACAGTGGAATTGTAAATGGGCTGATTCATCAATGTCACGCTCATTACTGTGCCTGATCTACAACAGGGAACTGCTGCTTTTTCTTTCCTAATCCTTACTATTGTCATTTTTCCTCTACTTCTAATCTTTTGTATGTTTGTCACACTCTTGGGACCCATTATTTCTGGGATGCCTTGATAGTCGAAGTAGACTTTGTGCTGTTGAAGCTAAAGAGGTGAGCAGAGTAAATCTGATTCCCTGTAATGACTTCTCTGTTGACATCCACCCCTTGGCGCTCATATGACCGTATGCAGTAGAGCGCACCTCTACTAAAACTAAACTAAAAGAACGGCGGAAGTACAAATGAACATGAAAGAAATTATAATTAAAAAAGCAGTATTCCTCAGCATTTTTCCTTGGATTACTGCTGTTTTTCTCCCGAGGTCTTCAATTATTAACGGAAAAATATGGGCTGGACGCCAAATTAATAAAATAATAAAGTCGACCAGTACTTTGCGTAAATTAATGAATCCAACTCACTTAGAGTCTCCTGCGTGAGCACTGACGGGACAGCTGGAGGGGGAATTAGCAATGAAGATTCTATGCCCTCTGGTTTATAACAGAATACTCTGACTCTGCTGTGATATTAACCAGGGCTTTTCTAACACTGGCTCAAATCAACACAAGAAGTTCCGGATTAAATCCACAGTAAGCCACGGTACCTACATAACCTAACTACTATGGTTCCTGCAAACTTGTTTTTTTTTGTTTTTGTAAAGTGTTTTACAGCGCTCGCAACTGCATAGGTCATATGAGCGTGCGGGACACACCTAATATTTTAAGGTGGTAGGAAATTTCGAATTTTGCCCAGGTGGCGGCCGAAGCCTACTCTTATCGATTTTAGACCACCAAGGGATCTTTAATGTGCGCAACTTGCACACGGGCCCTCCGAGATTTTTCGCCCTTGTCCGAGAAGGCTAGGTGCAGTGTAGATCTTTCCTACAAGAAGATCAGGGGTGTGGCAGAAAGACAACAGTAAGGAGGAGCCAATGAGTAGCAGTAGAAAGGCTGCAGAAAGAGTCAGGAGCCCAGAGGAGGGGGCAAAGGAGGTGAGGGGGTGGGGGCAGAAAGTGGAAATGAAAGCAGACAACAGAACATTGCTAGAGAGCAGGAAAGGAGGTGAAACGAGACAATTTTAGAGAAGAAAATTTTTCGGTCGCTACCCGGATTCGAACCCGGGACCTTTGAATGAAAGGCCAACACCTTAACCTCTAGGCCACGAGAGCCCCCCCTGCAAACTTAAAAGATGTCTAGAGAACAATGGATTGTAAAAAATAACTTGTAACTCCACACAAACTGAAATCATTTATCATACTTTATTCAGAAGCAATCAACATTTTCATCGAGGTTTGTGTGAGGCCTGATTTTAGGGGCACTCATTTTCTCACTTAGCACAGTACAGGCCAACAAAGACAAAGCAGGAAAGTAAAATTCTAAGAGTTCAACAACAACATGCAAATAGCTCATCCAAAGTCAAAGGAAAGTATGGGCCCCTTGCAGCATTAGAGGATATCAATTATTCACAATTGCGTATGTAATTTCATTTAGGGAACAGTAAACATTTATAAAGAGTACCCATTATTTGTTATCAAAATCTTTAAAAAATAATACACAGTGGTCCTTACTCAAACACTCACTTTTTGTCATCCCTCATACAGAAAAAAAAAGCTTTTCGCATTTGCATGCACATGCGACTAAGTAACAATGATTTGTCTTTAAAAAAATACAATGAATAGCAAGACTGAACCAAATGCCTCAACTCCCATTTTTTTGGGGGGGGGAAGTTGAGAAATAAGTGAAATCGAGTTTTGTTGACCAAAAAACAAGATGATCACAAGTTTATAAAGTAATGAGCCTTTATACAGACCTAAACAATTATCTGTTTAAAAAGAAAAAGAAAAGAAGAAGAGCATTATAAAGAAAACAGACAAAACGACAAAGGCCAGATTATTAAATCTAACAAATTAACACCCCAACAACTTTCACAAATGCCTTACATCCTCAGCACTGTTAACAAGCATAGCGAGAAGTAGCACATCCAAAGTACATGTCTCGATACATCCAGCACGCAGAAATACGTTTACTGATACAGAGAATATTAAAAACAGAGTTGAACAGAAAAAGAGCTTAAAAAACCCCCCCAAAAAACAAACCTCTTGATGGTATCATAAATGATCAATATATTTTAGAACAATTTTGAGTAAATTTATCTATAACAGAGTATGTGTGCGGACTCATTGCCGGTCTAAACTGAGATGACGACGTGACGACTATGGATCCACTGGCAACAAACAGATGGAAGGAAAACAGAGAAGACAAGATCAGGAGGTGGACAGACTGGAGAAGGCTTACTGAACATTTCAATCAGTCAAGACTTTTCAGCTGAAAATTTACCTGTCCATTGAAAAATCATTTCTAACCCCCCCCCCCCTGTTTCTTACAAAGTAATCATAACGCCCTGATTACTAATAAAGTGAGATTGGAGTGAGTCAGATCAGCATACAATGAACAATACTTAATCTCTTCACAAAAATGGAAGTAGTGAACAGCACATAACGATGGAACATTAAAAGAGCATTATGACGAACATGACAGCACCATTTTCTTATTAGCATTTTATTAAAAAGTTAGTGAATTTGGAATATCATATGTTCAAATGTGTTTTGATAAGACTTGAAACATTTAGCACATTCTTTACATGATGTAGGTTTAAAAAACAACCCCAGAAAGGAATGGAATCTGAAACATCATCTGACCTGCCAACTCTAAGTAAAATGCCATCAAACTTTTTAATGTTCAACGAAATCTTTATCTCTAAGGCATTAGTGAAGCGTAATTAAAAATGTCCATTCATAAGAAGGATTCAAGGATGACAAGTGAACAACACTTTCAAATCCCCTCCCTATCCTCCCTAAACCTCTTGAAACCTAGGCTGAAGCTCATCAATGTATGTGTCGCGACGCAGTGTAATCAGGCGCTTGTCAATTTTTGGGCATATGGAGTTATTGGTGTTCATTTGCCTTGCTTTTGATGAAAAGGTATCCATTTATCTTGCATAGAAGTAGAGATATTTGTGATTGAAGGAGGTGGGGTCGCCTGGTTTCAGAAGTAAAATTAGAGAGAAATTGGCCACCAAAGTTTGGTAACTTCCATAGCTCAAGAGTCCTTGGAAACTGTAAATTTGCATTTTTCTTGCCTTTAATCGACGTTTTTCCACTAAATCCACACATAAAACGTATCTTTGAATGGACAAAAAAGGTTTTAAGTAAAAAAAAATAATTCTTTTAAAAGTATTAGCCTATTTTGACGAGTGCCTGATTTCACCACGATGCCTCACACATATATATATCCTTACATATTCTAATTGTAATGTTCAGTTTTGAACCTGTAACAAATAGTCAGGTTCTCCCTCTTCACTGGAGCTTGCTTTCCCAATTCCCCCCCTTCAATGACTTAGTCGAGAAGGAAAATCACTGAAGATGTACATTGTTATTTTCTCCCACTAATTCCAATTCTGTTCAACTGTATATTCATCAACATCCTCATGCTCTTGGTCTTGACTGAAGTGAACACAAATTGAGCATCGATTGAAAGCTCAGTACATGTTATGGGCATTGGCAGAGCGTGGAACTTTGATCTTGTCAATATTTTTCATGATGATGTCATGAAGGGAAGCCTGAAACAAAAAGTAGGGAAACATTTGTTGAATTTTTAAAAAATGTAAGCAACTAAAAAAAACAAGTTTGTGGCTTCAACACAAAAAAAAACGACAAATGGGAAGGCCTACCGAAATAGATAAGCAAAAAAATTCACAAACTTAACACTCTGCCCCCACGGGATGCCTATCAGCGATGGTAAAAAGGCGCCCCTTTTCCCCAAATGGATGCCAATCGGCGACTGTGTGATATAGCAACAAACATGTTGCAGCAATCTCCTTTTTGACATACGCACTTGTAAAAGTTAAACTTCCTTTCTGAATGGTTTGAGGGGCCTTTGAAGTCGCAAATCAGTTTGTATAGGCCTACAACAATTGGAGTAAGTTTAAGGGAAAAATGTAGAGTAGACCTAGCACTAGTCTTATGCCATGATGAGAATTCATGTGAAGAATGAGTTCACGCTAATGTTTTCAGTTCCGATTCTAATTTCTCTTTTGGTGAACATGCGATCATCACTTTCATTTTTCCCAGTATGCTGAAAATTTCATAATGGTTGGGGTATTTTTGCCAAGATACAGGTATAGTATCTGCATCCTGGTCAGTGCGGACGAGTGTTGTGCACTCTATGCACTGTGAGCGTGGAAAGTGTTACAGTTTGTTCACCCTGGACTAGAATATCATGTCAAGGTGATTGATTTTTTTTCATTAGTACAATGGCTGTACACACACAAAACAAAATTGTTTAAAAAAAAACAACACTTTTCAAGATTACCAATTGATGAAAGTGGGCAGAAATAGAGAAAGAAACCACAAAACCTTTCAGCCAGAGCTCACGATAGGTAATAACCGTGCATTTGCTTAACACTTACAGGACTAAAGGCTCATGTAGTGAAAAACCCTCAAGTACGGTACCACACCAGTTTAGAATGCTGAAGCCATGATAAAATCTTTTAGAATTTAAAAAACCTTCGCAGCCCAAGAAACAAGATTTAAAACTTCACAGAGTTTCATCAAGCATTTAGCTATCATATACATAGAATGACTTCCTTTGGTATTTACTTTCATTCAGTGGCTCTGTTCCTTGCTTAATTATGTTTAGTGTGCCTGGTCGAGTCAGTGACTAAAGCTGCCAGCTGTATGAGCCCATACTACGGCCTGGCAACTTAAGTTGCGACAGTACTAAAAGTGTTAAAAGCCTCTTCATAAACCGGATCAAAAGAAGTTTTTACCATTCGTCCTAATAACATCAATTAAACTGAAATCCACTGGCCCTCAGCCTTACACACCAGCATACACATCAAGTGGATAAAAAATTATAAAGATCACAGAGATTTCTTTCAAACAGAAAACTTCTTTTAGAGAAACCTTCACACTTGGCTTCTCACAAACCAAAGTGCAGGGATGGCTATCAGAGGGAATAAAACACAATCTGTCACTCAAAGAGCATGTGTGTGTTTTTGCAAGCATGCATGGAGAATGCGAAATCTCATAGTCCCCTGTCAAATCCTTGCTTTGTCATTACAGGTATGAAGGCTGGGCATTTTAAAAACTTTTACCGAATCCCGTGGAAGCTATTGGCAGGTTTTTTAAAACAAAGCTGAGCTCTCTTGGCCGTGGAGAACCTTTATTTATACATATTGCGATTAGTAGAATAAATAGAGTAAAGAAACTACCACAAGACCAAAAATAAGCTGGAACAGAGTCTATTATAAATACAAGATGTGCGTATATAGGGGCAAAGGTCCTTGAAAGCAGATTCTCCACTTTTGAATATGAAGGGATCAAAAGCACAGAACAATTTCACAAGACTTTTCTCAAATGTTAACACCTCACAATACTCACATAATGATTTCTCATTTCAAGAATTGCATTCTGCAAATTCAACATCTGTCTTTCATCGAACTCCTTGATAGACTGTCTGTAATCCTCCTGCAATACAGACATGTGCACAGTGAAACAACGGCATGATGACAAAATATTTATCAAAGTCCTAGTAATTTTTCGGTTATAATGGCCTAGTGTGATGCCCAACAAGACATAAAGAAAGTCTACTGAGAAGACACCGGGCTGAACATCCATCCAGGGCAGCTGGGTGAGCACAGACATTATACCAGTTCCTGGTTGCCTCTAGCATTACTCCTGACTTCATAATTGCTATTCCTTTCCAGGTAACATTTTCAGATAATACTGCAACTGAAAAGTTCAACTTCATATGTTCAGAAGTCATAAACTATTGAAATGCCCACGAGGTTATCTATGTCATGCTAGGGAGAAAGTCTTTTTTTTGTGGATTCTTTATAAATCTATTTGGATATGTCAAACCAAATTTGCCTGTGTTAAGGAGGGTCCCTATCATACCATACCAGTCATCATTTACAAATCAACTGACACTGACATTATTTCCCATGAATGATCTATAAATTTTCAAAATGCAGCCCAATGGATATAGAAGGCCTGCATAAAGCACATTCACTTTGCATTGACACATTCACATAGAGCACAGAAGAGAATATGAGCCAAATGTGCTCACCACTAGAATTTGGATATAGTCAAAAGTATTCTAGTCATTAGAAGGAAGAGATTAAAATTTGACCTACTTTAAGATCACAGAGAAAATGAGTGAGGAAATTGTTTAAAAAATTATCTATTAGTATTACCATGCTTCCTTACTATAAGGTCAATTACTCTAAGAAATAGTCAAAGATCATTTAAGAACAAGTCCAGTTACCCTATTTGCAGAATAACAAAACAATTCCAAAAAGAAAAAAAAAAACTTACAATGTGTGGGTATTTTGCAATCTTTGAAATGATCCGCGCCCTCTGAAGATAGTAGCGTGTGACCTGATCTAAGTAGCTGCTTGCCTCACTCTCCACTTGTCTTGCTTCTGCCACAACATCTTCCTGAAAAGTACAGCCAGAAATGTTTGGGACTAGGAAGACTATATCCATTTATGAAAGTACATTGTAAACAGTCTTTTGAAACAAAGGAAACACAAATTGTAACTGAAATAATGATTATTACGGATGAGCCGATACACTCAACAACTGAAATCCATACCCAAGGGAGTCGTTTAAATTCACCCTTTATCTAAAAGCTCTATAAAGAAAAGCCAGCACACGAAATCTGAACAAAACATTTTACCAGCATAGGTTGTCATATACAAAAATATCATGTTAGAGTGAGTAAAACGTGGGGCAGGTGGTTTGCTCTGTCAAAAGGGAAGGGGGCATAGCTTGTTAGGACTTAATAGAGATGTTAAAAACTGGAGTCATAAGGCCCCACTTTTCATTTTGGTAAAACTATTTCATTGTAGAAAAAGGAAAAAAAGGTAATCAAAGTTGTTTGTCCACAGCCCTGATAAATTACTTTAAATACATGGATGGAAATTTCACTTCATTAAACACAAACCTGCTTGTCACTAATGTTGTACTGGACAACTTACCTGTATTGATACACCAAAATTGTTGCCATCCTCAATTTTAGGTATGAGAAAATTGATCCACATTCTTACCTGTAAAGAAAAAAGTACATCTTGCAGGTAGCAAACATGATGCGAACCTTTAAATGAATATCTAGGTCAAACAAAGGTCAGCATAGTGACATTCAACTAATGTGATAAAAGCCACCAGTCTCAACTCATTTTTCAAAGTAACAACATTTTTTGAGGGTTGATTTTTAAAAAAAATGCTGTATCACAGATCTGGTTTTAACTACCTGGGTTTTAATTTTAGTTTTAGTAAGAGATTTACTGCACTTGCAACACAATAAGGGCATACAAGTGCAGAAGATTAGAGGTGTAACAAGAGAGTAACAAAAAAGGAGGAGAGATGAGGACAACAGATGTTTGATAGGCAAGAGGGGGGGGGGTTCATACAATGACAAGGTATCATGATGTAAACACATAAGGCTACCAATATAGATGCACTACGCTGCAATCATAGAATTTAGTGTCCAGACCTAATCCTGCAGTATTACGTCAAGCAGTTCCAGTGTGTCTAAAAAGATTTATGACGCACTCTGGTGAAATGAGGTGCTCGTCAAAATAATGCAATTGAAGAAACTGACATTTTTCTATCCCCTGGGCAATTTTTATTGATTCTTTGTTTTGGGGCTCAACACCTGTAATATCTATTTAAAAACACATTTCTGCTACGATTGACCTGAAAAATGTTGATCAAAGGCACAAAAACAGCAAATTTGTAGTTTCCAGGGACACTCAATTTTTGAAAGTCACCAAACTTTGGCAGCCAAATCTTCGAAAATTTTGCCTCTTAAACCAGGCGCAAATATCTCAACTTCTATTCAAGATAGATGAGTATCTTAAAAGCAAGGCAAATGAAGAAGCTTTAAGTTTAAGATAATATCAATAGCTCCAAATGCCCCAAAATTGACAAGCGCTTGAATCCACTGCGCCGGGACACATTTTTTTCTCTTCCATGTGAAAAACCAAACAAACACTGTGACTGCGACTGGCAAAAAATGAATTACTGACCTGATCAGGACAAGTATACAAATTTGCAACTCAGTAATTTTTTCTGTGTAAATAATTAGAGACTTCCTTAAATGCCTGGGTTGTTTTAAGTGTCTCAGTTACTTTGTTCAAATTACTCAACTATTCTCGGGGTCTCCAGGACCTGTTATAAAGCCCCATCTCTGCTGCTTTGTATTCAAATATGAACTTTGGTTCTGAGCCGCTCTGGCACAAGTGTAAAAAAGATCCATGAAAAGACCCATGAGCTGACTGCACCCATTGCAAGTTAGGTCTTTCAGGCACCATCATACGAAAAAATCCAGGACCTGAAAATCTGTTTGCTAAATGCATCCAAGACTGCTGATATGAAAACCCCCTCTATCATCAACATTTTACCCCTGTATCAAAATAACACTAAGGAGCTGCAATACTTTGGCCGTCTCTCTTCTCACTACAGCTTACTGAAAATACAATCTCTTATGCAAGGCTCACAGGAAAGAGCTGACACAATGCCAAAGAAACTATGTACTAAATGATGTTCATCATGTAAACACAAGTTTGTCTAGTGTGTAGACTATATCAAAGCTAGCTGGTAGATTGTGTCCAGTTTGTGCAGGACTTGCCACTGTCCCAGAACTGTAGTGGGTCATAAGACCAAATCTGTGGGTCAGAGGAATCCAGGGTAGCAACTGTGACAACCTCTATGCCAGGAGTCACTAAATAAGGCCCACGACGTCAGTTTGTCTGGCCTGTCGCCATGCCGGAGAGAAACCAAAAACTGGGAAGATGGGAAGATGTGTTTGTAGTGTGTTCAGGACTTGGTAACCAAATAATTTAATAAAATCATTAACCTTTACAGCGCTTTTATAGACCTTATTAATTCTAGAAAGCTAAATGCCACTTTAACGAATGTCATGATTATTTTTTTGTTTTTGTTTCATTTGTCATTTGTAAGGTTCAAAGCAAATGTTTGAACCAGATGGTAGACCAAAAGTGTGCACCCCCCCATACTTTATACTTTAAAATAAATCCATTCCTCTGTGATTTGCATGTTCAAGAGTATAAAAGTAAATCATATCCCTTCCAACTTAATCTAAAATCTATTTACCATGTTTGCATGTTCCATAAGCCCACGCATCAAAGGTTTGGTCTTCTCACAATAACTGTGAACATTTTTGTTGTAGGGCACAGCTCCGCCAGGAAAAACAAGCACTCTGGTACCTGAGGATAATAATAACATTTGGATGACCATGAGCTACAACAGAGCTTAACAACAATCAGTTCAAGTCTCACTATCTGGACCAAAATGGATGTAAATGACATGCAAAAGTGCTTCTGTACCCACTATTAAATTGAGGGCCATCCACTATATATTGAATGCCATTGCTGGCATATTAAATACATGAACAAGCCAGAAGGGATGATGATGTCTAAAAACTTCCTGCCACTTTCTCAATCTACACCTTGTTGTTGTTGCAAGAAAAACTATTAACTCCAACGTATTTTTGCTCACCCTGTAAATCAAGGTCAAATAGAGTAAAGGGTTTTCCTCATGACAGCAAAATACAAGCAATCCTAATTTTTTTTCCTTTTCGGTTTGTGGCAAAAAACAGTAACTGAGACCTTTTCCCTTTTCTGAGAGACACTTCATACACTTTGTACAGCCAGCCCATTCAATATATCAACCTCCACAACTGTCTTTCTTTAGGGAAGAGATGGAAGTGAAAAAGATGTTGTTTTCTGAGGCTAGTCTCAAAGATAAAATAAATTTGGAAGGTCTCTCCTGAATTACACCTTATAAGTTCAGGACAAAATTATCTTTCATCAATGGAAATGACATCACATTTTTTAAAAATGCCCACTTAACACTTTCCCTACCACGTTGCGGCTAGCGGACCTGGCCCCACTGGATCAAGAACTGCAAAATACGGCACGAGTGGCTTTCTATCTATTCCAATCCAGTAACAAAAAGACACGAAATTCTCGGCCGATCCCCTTTTTCAAAATAATAGAATAGACTTCCTGTTAGCAGATATGAAAGAAAATATTGCACTGACAGACGATTTTTAGTCATTTCAGCACTTTTTTTGTCCCCTTCGAAACGTTAAAAAAAAAGCGCTAGCCTGACTTCAGTATATGTCTCATATTTTCACTTCTATATTGGGTACCCATACATAACTTTCAACATTTCTTTGCATTACTTGAGGCAACCCCTCTACCTGGGAAGTTTGAATGATCCTGTTGTTTTACTTTTTTAGATATGACCTTTCAAAGCTGGAAAATTGTTGATTTCATATGACATCTTCCATATTGCATAATCACTTTTAGAAACCCCAAAGTAATATAATTGGAATAAATCTTCAATATTAAATAGCCATCTGATAGATTATTTTTTAACCGTCAGTTTGATGGGCCATAAGATATGGTTTGTATGTGTTTAGTTCGATGTTTTGACATTTTCCTTTGGCGGGGTAGGGGCGTAAAAATAGGTCAGGGAAAAGCCCTGGGCCAGTGGTGGATTTTGGCCTGGTAGGAAAATAGTTAAAAATAATTAAGTAAAAAGAAAAGCAGAAAAATCCAAACCTGTGATGGTGGAGCTGTGATTGTTGGTGTCTACCTCCATTTTCCTCTTTTTCTGATTTGGCTGGGGACACAATAGGCTAAATGTACACTATGTATGCATATCATAACATATAAAAGAAACTAAAGAACATTTTAAAATATTATGATCAAAACAAATGCCTGCTTCTGAACTTTTAACTATGAAATTAAATCCCCACTGTATATATAAAAAGTAACGAAATAGTTCTTACTCTTTATAATTCACAGATTTTGCAGGAGTCCGGTTGTTGTTTTTTTGTTGTTTAGTAAGAGTTTTAGAGCAATTACAACACAATTAAGTTACATAAGTGCTGAAGATAAGAGGTTTAATGAAGGAGTAACAAACCCAAGAAAGGAAAAGAGATAAGGACAATAAATGTTCAGTAGGAAAGAATGAGCAAACCTCACTGAAGAACCCACAAACCGCCTACTCATCGGTCTCTAACTAAGAAGCAACATCATAATCCACAATGCAAAGCAGCCAATTCCATTGATGCAGCCTTTAATCATTTCCTGATCAAATTTGACTGCAGCAAACTAGTACAAGTTTTCATGAAAACTTAGAACTCTTTTGTGTAGAGATAACACACTGTGACAGATTTACTCATTACTATAAACAAAACAAAAAACTCAATATCTTCTTTAAGAATAAAGCAGGCAGGAAAGAAAGTAGGAAAGTGTGTAAATTTACCAGTGTATGGACAAATATTTGCCATTTACTCGCCACAGCAGAAGAGGAGCAGTTGGAAGATGCAGTAGATTTGAAAGAAAAGCCTTTTCTCAAAACAAAAGTTCAGCTAATTAATCATTATGTCACTTTGACAAAAAAATTGGGAGATAAATCAGAGAAGCAAAATTATTCCTCCAAAACAAAAGAACTTTATTTCTGGTCCTTTGCAAAACTCTATGCACAAAGACAATACACTCAGACCTGTCACTCTATGAACTCTATATATCTGGATCTCAGAGGGAAAAATTTGAATTTGGGGGAAAAAAATCGGGATCAACGACAAACGAGTCCAGGGTGACTATCAAACAGACTAAAACATTTTCCAGGGGTTTCCATAAATGATGTTATTATATAAATGTACATGTAAACTTATACGCCCTTTATGTGTGTGTGGTGTGTGTGTGTATACGAGTGTGTGTGTGTGAGTGCGTGCGTGTGCATACATGTGTGTATGTGTTTAATCATAATTTTTTTTAAATCCTGAAGTATCACGCCAAGCACTCCTTTCCTATTCCAAGTGTCTACCCAATTTGTCCCGAAAGACACTTCTACCAGTGTGCATGAACTTTAGTTGACCCCGTCAATGGACTGTCCCCGACAGGCGCGGAACTCGCATGCCGAGCCGAAGTCAGGTTTTTATATTTTCCCTCAACCCACTTAGGGAAGATAGTGTAGCATTCTTTACCTCTGAGGAGTCATTTTCATCAACAGCATCCAGGGGCTCAGGATAAGGAATGTTCACTGCTTGTTCCAGATCACGAGGACTCTGTGCTTTCACTTGCTGGAAGGAAGAGAATAAACTGGGGTATTATTCTACAGGCAATATGGCAGGCAACAGATTTCATACGACCTTAAAAAAGACCTTTTGTTCCAGGATAGAAAACAGACAAAATTACTATGTAGACTGGTTGGCGCATGATGTCATCCTCACCCCCAACTTTAATCTTAATTAATAGTCTAACCTGAAATGACATATACTATTAAAATTCCTTCTGTAAATATAGTCAAATTTCATTTCGGCTTTTAAAGACCCGATACAGTAAAGGCTGCCTCTTTATACAGTATAACACAGCACATAGCTCAAACTTGAGAGGAGCAGAATTTAGCATACTGAAAAATACTTAAAGCAGAAAAGCACAACCAAGGTACAGAATGGTAACTGACCTTATGAGCAAAGTGCATTTTTCAAATTTGTAAGTTCTGAAAATTATCAATGCTTGAAAATTCCAGTGCGATTTTTGAAAGACAACAGTAAAAGAGCCAAAACTGTTAAAAATTAAGTTTCATTTTATAGAAATTACATAATTTATTTAAAAATGATTTACAACAGTTGTCCAGTTCTCTTTACACATGCAGGCTTTTGAATGGAGATAGGTCTAAATCAGATTCTTCTTATATATATAATATAACAATCGATGAGGTGTGCAGCTTCAATGCTTGGGAAGCATGAGGAGTGAGAGTTTATAGTTATGCTTTATTTACAAATTGTCTGATTCCATAATATAGATATCACAGCTTGCTTGTGGTGTAAATGCCTGGGAATTTGACAATGTTGTGGAGGTTGGAACACTTTTGGAAGATTCAGTTCACGACGCACTGGAAGTGAAATTTTAGTTGTAGCGGGGGGGGGGTTCCCCGCTGAGCGCCTTATCACGTCGGGGTCACGGGGGTCAGCTACCTGTCGCCGCTCTGTCTGGGCTGACTTAATTTTTCTTACTTTTCAACGTAGTTTTAGGTTTAACCTTGAACTTATGGTAATTATCATTTAATGCACCTAACGCACGCATTTCTGCTCTTGAGACTTAAAAAAGAACAGACACTGTAACTTGTCTAGTTATTTCGTTAAAAACGTTGAAGTCGGCAATGTTAAATTGTAAATTTTTTTTTGACAAGTGTGAATGAAAAAAAAATCAATATAAAAAGAATGGCACGACAAACACTGTCGAACTTTTGGAACATGAACGACATAACATTGGTGAAGATACTCAAAAAAGATGGTATCTGCGGGTATAATATGAAGCTGTAATTTTGCAACTTTAACGATCTGGTACGCAATTCGCTATGAAGTAATTCTTCCAAATACAACTTTATGAGTCTAATATAATCGTGAATATTCGCATATTTTCTCTAAAATTTCTCAAAATTACTCTGAAGTCTCTCAATGAAAAAGTACAAACCGATTTTAGTGCCAGAATACATCTACAATGTAATTCACGAACAGTATCTGTCACACTCCATAAATTCCTTATTTTTCTTAAAACGCTAAGTCTACGTTTTGTAAGTTGACTGAATAACAGGGATGACTTCTTGTAATTGTGTTATAAGAATAATGTCTAGCTTTTCAGTGACACTGAATCAGCACCAGACTTTTCCAGTTTTTATTTTCGTTGCTATGACCATTTGCAATAACCGACAATGTTCTGATTTCTTTACATTCATAAGTGTCCGCTCAGATGTCCGACACAAAAACTAAGAATGAACGAGTTAGCTGTCATTATTTTTATTCCATACAAAAAGTGCATCTCTACCCATGTATTAACACAGTTTTGTTGGTTTTTTAAAATAGAATAATATATCTTTCTTAGTTGCATGCAGGTTGCCACAGACACAGCATGATTCATGAACAAACGCAGAGTAACTTTCTCTTGTTTAATGGTAGAACAAGAGCTAACGTTGAGTGTCTTTAGTTAAAAAATGCAGATGTGCATCTTTCTTCTCTTATAACTTGACCATTAAGTACTACTCGCGCAGACTTAAGATTTCTCATGGCAAAAGACATGATATTCGTAGTCAGTTTAACACAGACTTTGGAGAGATGTCATGCCATTTTTAAACAAACAATCATTTATTCATAAGTATGTAACTAAAATAGGACAAATTGGGTACTCTACAAAACACTTGTCTAGAACAAAAACTAAGGCACAGAAATGAACCATTGTAACGCTGAATAAATCTCAAGACATTGAGATTTTAGTATATCCGCGTAATGGTTTGCTGTATGGAATGGGGAAGAAGTTATATCGTTTCAAAAGTAGAGAAAAATGTTAACTTCTTAACTGACACCCGCAATAACTTCTTACTGACACCGGCAATAACTTCTTAACTGACACCGGCAAAGTCGCTTCAGGGCTCATTAACCCCGTGACCCCGAGCCGGGGAGCTTCGGCAAGCTGCTGAGTCACACTAACTAAAAGTAACAGAATTGGGCGAAAAGTGACGCCGTGTGTTCCATCTCCTCTTATTCTGATGAGAATCTTACTTTCATACAGCCAGAGGCTAAAAAGACGAAGCTCCGAAACTGTTTGATGCCAAACAGTCAATTGAATAACCAGCTCAGGAGCAGGTCCAATCATACCTGTGTTCTTTGTGACCCACATCATATGAATGAACCAGGGATCGAGGCTTCCATAAAAGTGACTGTTATGATTATGAACAGTTCGACTACACTATACAAAACTTACTTTGAAGAGTTCATCAATCTCCAACACCTTCTGGGGGAAAGTTTCCCGCACAAGTTGCTCTGACTGAAATTTAGAGAGAATATTATAAAGGCATAAATGTTGAAAGTAAAGTGAGACAAAAATACTTTCTATAATAAATACTAAAAGCAAAAGGGTCCTTACAAATATATATTTACAGCATTCATTATATTTAAAAAAGGCAAAATGTATTAAAATACAACAACTAATTCATGTCATTTAACTTGACATAAAAGAATAATAAAAGCTTGTCACATACATACTTAGTGTCAGACACCAGCACCTGTGTCTTAATTTCCACATTATAAACAGTTATAATAGTTTGAGAAAACATGGAATAAACAACTGTTGCAAGATAAAGGAGGAGTAGCTCTAAACATTAATTTAACTTATCCTGAAAAACATGGTTAACAGATATCGGCATTGCTCTTGCGACAGCTAGGATATTCATCATCCATTTGAAGAAAAACATAAGGTACTTTCCAGTGACTCAGACATAATACAAAAAGTCTTAAAAAAGAGTGGGCACATGAAAAGAGACTACACAAAATTGTTAGATAAATATTAAATGTAGCGAAATCAGTCTCAGACTATTCACAGTTAGAAAAGCAGAAAACCAAAAAATCCTGAATTACCTCCTTCTTGAACTGTTCGATGAAATCATTCACCTGAAATTAGATTTTTTTCAAAAGTGTGATTTACAATCATTTGATCAATCCTGCACATTTAATTCTTGTCAGAAGATAGAAATGCTGGACATTACAAATTTATATACACACAGAAACAGAGAATGAATAAAAGCGATCATGAGGTGTCTAATACAGTGGAATCCTGTTATAACGAGAGGGAGGGGACCGGTGCGAAATATCCGTTATAGCAGGATTTTCGTTACAAGGGATCCAGTAATAAATTCAAGGGAAATAGTAAAGTAGGCCTACTCTATGAATTTGGCATCCTGTTTATTCCTTTTTGTATTTCCCCTGATGATGATTTGTTCAACATGATCTCAAGGTCTTACTTGATCAAAAATCGAATCAGGTTTCTTTCTCTAGCACTAGCAATGTTGACAGCTCGGTGTTGGCGATCAGAAAGAAGGGGCTCTGGCTCTGGCCTAACTCGTCCGCTGTGTTGTCCCCCACCCCCACCACACACTGTGGTGCGTTGCGTCTGCTTGCGCACGTCACACATTCACTCCATCCATCTATCACAGCTTGGTGACCTCTCCATCCCGCACCAGAGAAGTGAGAGGCACGGTATGCAGGGTTGGGTTGATTTAAATCAAGTTGATTTTTTAAATTTAAATCAACTTGATTTTTAAAATAAAAATCAGTGATTTAAATCACTTTTTTAAATGTTTATTTTTATTCAGTTTTTACACATTTCAACATTCAGAATTCCTTTCCTTGGTTTCATAAAACAGATATAAGGTTTAGTAGACTAATATATTCATGCTTAAAAGTCTGCTTTTCCCCCTTTCACTGTAAAATAATACTGATTCAAATTACTTTTTTTTCCATAATTGAAATCAGAGCTGGGTTGATTTAAATCAGTTGATTTTTTAAATTTTAATCAACTTGATTTTAAAAATAAAAATCAGTGATTTAAATCACTTTTCAAAAAAATGTATTCAGTTTTTACATATATGTAAACATTCAGAATTTCTTTCCTTGGTTTTATTAAACAATATGTGAGGTGTGCTGACAAAATGAGTTACTTCTCGCTGTCCAAGAATGGACATATCGGCCGAAAATCGACACTGAGGTCAGATTGATAGATTTCTAATTGATACCATTTTGTTCAAGTCTACCATGTCTTTTATTCTTCCATACTTAAAACAAATTGTACAAACTTCACCTATAAAGTTGATGTATCAATTTCCATAAAGGCTAAAATCGGAGAAGTAACTCATTTTGTCAGCACACCTCACATATAAGGTTTAGTAGACTAATATAATCAAGCTTAAAAGTCTGCTGTCACTGTAAAATAATACAGTTCTCAATTTACTTTTTTTTCATAATTGAAAACCAGGGTTGGGTTGATTTAAATCAGGTCAATTTAAATCAGTTGATTTTTTAAAATTTAAATCAACTTGATTTTAAAAATAAAACTCATCACTTTTTAAAAAAGAATTCTGTTTTTACATCTTTAAACATTCAGAATTCCTTTCATTGGTTTTATAAAACAGATGATATAAGGTTTAGTAGACTAAAATAATCCTGCTTAAAAGTCTGCTTTCCCACCTGTCACTGTAAGTAGTAAAATAATACTGTATATATTCAATTTATTTTTTTTCATAATTGAAATTAGCATTTTCTTTTTCTTTTTAGACAAACACAAGCGCGCGCACACACACACACTGTAATAAAATGCAAGTTTATCTATGCATAATTACCCCCCCCCCCCCCTTTCCTTTTAGACTGACATTTTAAAAATCTTGATTTAAATTTTTAAAAATAGATTTTTTAAATTTTTATTTAAAAAATCAAAAAAATCACCAACCCTGACAGTATGCCAAGATAATCTAGACTGGGCTGGCCTATCACGCGATGCGTTCTACTTGTCTGCCCATGCCACCCCCCCTCCCCACCCCCCACTCATTCGCTCCGACCTTCATTGTTGGTTCGCGTGGGCTCTCCCATTCTTTGTTTCGCTGGATCACCAACAACTTTCTCAACTGGCGAGGTTTTATAATAATGTTTAATTGGTCTGTGCGCTGTGTGCAGCAGCAGCAATATTCCGTTATAACCGACTCGTGTGACGGTCTGATTGCGCAATAGCAGTATTTTATTTACAAAGATAAAGAAGGAGAAAAAACGGGGTTTTAGAATAGTGTCTTTATAACAGACTTCTCGTTGTTTCAAGACTCGTTATAAGTGGACTCCACTGTAATATGTTTATATGGTTTCTTTTAAGTTTTAAAATTTAAAGCCCATCCATGACCTCGAAAGGCCCCCATACCATACCGAAAGCCTAAGATAATGTCAGCACTGTGGGATGTTATAGAGATCTCATACTTGAGAAGTAGCCACAGCCCATCCATCCCAAAAAATTCTAAAATGGCTATGGGCCGGGAACTACATTTTTAACTTGATCTATCAGATCTCTACAAGCTATTTGTCAAGTACAGTCGAACCTGCGTAAGGCAGAACTGCAAGGGAGCCCCTATATTTTTACGAAGTGGTTTTTTTCCTCCGAACGCCAGGGAAAATAAACTTGACCTCTATTTCTCCGAACGGTTTCTGTTTTCGAGATTTTCTGTAAATTTGCGAGAGTTCTGTGTCATCTTTCATTCTGCCAGAACCAGGAGGGAGCATTTTTAGCATCGAATTCAATTTAGAGAGCTAGATTTAGAGATTTTTTGATGTCTGAACATTCAGCTACTTCAAATTGTGGATGGGGCAACATTCCCGGACTATACTTCATTTGAAAATACAGTAGTCTCCGCCTAAGATCCCGGTGCTCGGGAGAAAGGAAATGCGGGATCTTAGGCGAACCGGGATCTTAACCGACGAACCCAGGGAAGAATCTATGGTGACTCATGTTAAGGCTCACAATCGGTAAAATGGTCTACCTCCTCTCTAAAATGAACTGACGTGACGCCTTGGTGGGTTTATGGCGTATGGCGAG